ACCACTCTGTGTTAAACTTAAAGCGTCTCACCTCTACATTGAGCGTGAAGTCTAAGCCATCCAGCAGAGTGACTTTACACTGCATGATCTTCACCTTCTTGACTCCTCTGAGCGGAGACCTAGACAGACGACTGGTGGATGACCTGTGGGATACCAGATCCTCTTCCTGCTGCTCCTGGCAAAAAGAGGAAAAAGTGTCACTTAAAAATAATGAGAATAACACATTTACAATAACAGTTTTCTACATTTGGGATAGAGCTGAATGGAATTTCCTTGTTAAAAGTAATGAGCTGCCTCTACCTTGTCATGCTAATTGTGGATAGAAGTATTACCGTCTCTAAATGTCCACCAGAAGAGAAGTTTCCTTACCTAAATGACCGTTAATGTAAACCTAAAAATAGACACTGGGACCCTGACTGAGTGTAATCAGGTCCCACTGAGAACAGCTAGGGGTGTACCGCCATTTTGTCTTAAGGAGAGAAAATCCAATTTTCCACTTCGCTGAAAACAAACCCTTTGCTGACTGACTTTATGCTGAATAGACGCCTTTGCTTCGAGATATTATTCTTTCTTACATACAGTGAATTTAATTCCCCCCTTTGAACATTTCTTATCTTGCTCTTCAAGCCATTTTTTATTGCATTGTTCCTGCAGTATCTACTGCAGCTCATGTGGACTACTCTCCCTGTAGACTCATTTTGATGTAGTATTAAACAATAGAAGAAGAAGAAGATGACTCTAAAGAACACAAGAATGAAAGGTCAAGTTAATATTTCTAGGAAATACCACAAGACACATTTTCCCCCATTTGTTTGACGCATGACTGGTGAGAACAGGCACCACAGATGTATGAAATCACAGTTACATGTGCACCCTGCTGGAGAACGTGCCTCACAGGGAAGGCCGACAGTGTTGTGTCAGACTGGTGCAATTTCCCCTCAGTCTTGCTCCTGGCAATTCACACAGGTCTAACACTGATGGTGCATCACTGATCATCCTCAGTGTGGAAAAACAAGGGGTGCATAATGTAGCTGTGTGAATTTGAAAGAATCCTGGGGTCGATCAGCTCAGTGGGCAACACTGCAAGTTATAAAAGAAGATCATATATATATGTATTACTATTCCCCTGGAGCTACTTGGATCTAGGAGAATAGCAATGTTCACTTTGGACCAAACCACAAACTGTAGCCTGAGAGGTGAAGCCAACAGCATTTTCTCTAGTGGCCAGCAGGGAGCGACTCATCTAGATGCAAAAAGAAATCTCAGGTAGAAACCTGTAAGATAATGATCCCACTTGCCTTATTATCCCAGCAGGTGCTTTCCTAATCACTTTATGGTAACAATTGCCCATTCAATTGCTTCAATTCCTGATCCCGATTTAGATAAAAGCAGATGACGGAGCAGGAATGCTTTAGGACAGCGGTCACCAACCTTTTTTGCGCCACAGACCGGTTTATGCCCGACAATATTTTCACGGACCGGCCTTTAAGGTGTCGCGGATAAATACAAAAAAAATAAAACTAGTACCGGTACCGAAAAAAGAAGATTTATTTATAACGCACGTTAAAAGACCAAGGAAAACCAAGTTAACGATAAAAACGATAACAAAATAACGCTGAAAACCGATAAAAACCCTGAAAACCATACATTTCACACCTGAGCCTCTACTCTTGCGGCCCGGTACCAAACAACTCACGGACTCGTACTGGTCCGAGGCCCGGGGGTTGGGGACCGCTGCTTTAGGACATGGCTATGCTGTGACTGACGAGTCACTACTGTGTGAGCACGCAGTGTCCTCGGTTTCTCAGAACACATGTTTGTGGTGGCCATATTACACCCATCTTTTATATCCAGTGTCTGTATACATCTTAAATATCTCACCAAGTGCTTGACTAATGTCTGAGAAATGCAGCACAAATAAGCATTACCCTGGGAAGACAGGGTAGTAATTGGATTCCCAGTATTTTGAATCCAAGATTTTTGGTTTATGACTAAAAATCCCATTCCTAAGGACAACTGAGGCCAAAGGGAATATGATGCTCTTTTAGCAACGCTAAATAGCTTTATAAAGATTGCAGACACAGTCAAGTTTTAGCATCTCAATGAAAACAATGCTGCGCCCATGTAAAGCCTAAAGCTGAAATTAAAATCTGGCTACCACAGAAGTGTTTAATGTAGACAAATGATATCAATAACATCAATGCAAAATATTGTACAAGTCAGACTTTGTTAACATGAAAATATGTCATCTATTTTATCACCGTTTCACCACATTACCCTGCATTGTATATAATTAATTTATCCATCACCTCGCCCTGCGACTGCTGCTCTCTCATTACAGCCTGTTATGATTCACGTGTAAGCTTCTTTTCAACAAAGGCACCATTTAAATCCTTCTCCTTTTCACATCATGATAAGAACCTGCTGAATGAGTGGGGTTGTGAGCCTGAGCACATTCAAACTATGGTTACACGCTCCAACATATTAAGGAGTTAAAAGATCAAAGTCACCCAGATGTGCAGCTTTTGGGGAAGAAAGAAAATTGCTATTTAATATTAGTTTTCCATGCAAAATAAAGCCTACACCTTTAAATATAATCCAGAGTTGCAGTCAAATACAGCCCCCAGCTTCATGCCTGGGATGGCATGCGAAAGAAAAAATAATAACAGCTCAGAGCTAATCCCTACTCTAATGCGATCTCAGACCCTTCATATATCAAAAATCAGTCAAACCTATTACAGTTTTTTTTTTTTTTTTAATGTCAACTAGGTGAAACCCAGCAATAGAAAAAAATATATAAAACATGGATTTAAAGTTTTCTGAGTGAGTAAACACATCCTAGACGTTTAAAGCAACACAAACATTGTAGACTGGGAATGTGAACTGTTAAGTTGTTTGAGATGTACCTTTTTATATACATTTTCCACTAACTACCACAGTAAGAGACCACATCTACAAGCATGTGCAGCTGGTGAAAATGTTTTTCTTTCAAGTAATAAATTAGAGAAGAAGCAGGGATCTACCTCACACTGAACCTCTGAAGTTTGGAAGCACTGGAAATTCAATCTGCAGATTGATTAAATAGTGAGCCAGAAGGCTGTTTGGGCCAAAACCTGAAGACAAGCACTTAGTGCTCAGATAACATCAGTAGCTTCCCAGGCTTCATCAGATATAACATGGATAGGCTACAGGGTATAATATTATACTATCAGAGATCACTGTTCTCTGGTTTTAGACTCGTCCAGCTTCTTTGTCAAACATGTAAAATCACTTAAACATGTTCATGCGTCGAAGTGGTGTGCAATCTTACGGATACATTTTAAAATACACCAAAAGTCTTCATCATAGTTCAGACTCAACTCAACGGGTTTAATTCCAGGTTGTTCCCTAAATTCTTCCAATCATTGTCCTCACAGCTGCAGGAAGTTGCAAATTGGGAGAGATGTAAAAACAGTCAGTACAACAAATGATTGTTGTGATGATTGCAAATAATGCCAGGTTTCTACTGAACTACAGTCATAAGTTATTCAACATAACAGCAAGGATGGCTGTGGCATCCTTGCTGTTATGTAGACAAGTTATTTAGAAAACCTGTGAAAGAGGCAAAACACAAAGACGGCAAAATAAAACAACTAAAATCATCCCTCACCAAACTGCCTGTGCGTGTGGCCAATCAGTGACAGTGACTATATCTGTCAAACTGCCTTAGTTGCTGTAAAGCCTGAAAACAAAGCATCCACAATTGAAGGTTTCTTGATCTATCCGTCTTCCCATTTCTAATATATAAGAAGCATGGAGCTCTAACTGAACACCAGGCTTTCCTCACAAACAAACAAATGCATCTGACGCATGGTTGTAACCGCCATGGAGGACTGAGGTCACGTCTTCACATTCTCTCCCCCTCCCCACGTTCATTTCCATTTTTCCTCACAAAGCCACAATTCATTCAGAAGAGGGATGAATGGTGTGTAATGTTTTGTCAAATTCAAAAGGATCTATACAATGTTTACACCACAAAAGAATCATTCTTAAATAAAGTGGCAAAGTTTGTTTTGTTTTTTTCCTAATATTAAATTCAGTAAAAGTATGTTTAAAGGAAAATTATGGTGGATGCGATGGACGGATGTTCCATTTTTAAAAGAAGTGACAGTGGGTGGATGTGGTTACAAAGAGGCTGACCTGTTCTTTCCTGGCCGGGGTGCTGTGTCCGACGGCGGCTGGAAGCTGCTCCGGTTGGTTCTGAGGCAAGGCGGGCTCGGCTGCCACCTGGCTGGGTTGGGATGCCGCTTTTGCTTTCCCCTTTTCTGTCTCCTTATTCTCCTGTGGCTGCTTGGCCTCTGAGTCGGCGCCTGATTCAGTTGTCATGGTAAATCACACTGGAGTGGAGGAAAATGGAGGGTAAAGAGGAAAAGTGGATGAGTCAGCTGACTTGTTATGAATTGATGCAGCGCCGCTTTTCGGGCCCGTCTAACGATAAGCTCCCCTCTGAGGTAAATGCAGAGATGTGGATATTGTTTGACAGCAGAATAGGCATTAATGCAAGAGGCTTGGGTGCACTCACATCCCCCTTTTAAGTAATCACAGTAGTGTCAGTAGCTGACAATGCTAAGGGCTTGGACTGCTTGTACCATGACGTCAACAAATTCTACAATATATCCAAAGCTCACTAAGGGGAATTAAACAAATTTAAAATAATATCTACAACTGTAACAAATATCTATTTCCGCAAGTATTTTTTTTTTAATAAATTGGTTTCTAAAATATGAGAAAAAAGAAGTCTAGGAAAATGTCTGAATATATTTGCCAATTACTTTTCTGCCAGTTTATTAATCAAATACTTTATGAACTTCTGCAGTTGTTTCACATTCTGATAAAAGCATCTGTGAAAAATTTACATGTGTAAATCAATTAAATTGGGCTAATTTGCTGATTAGGAGGAAATTAAGTGACAAACCATAATAAAACGATTTAAATTGATTAAATATTTGAACAAAATCCGATGGAAATGTCAAACATCTCAAGCTCTCCAGTGTGGAGCTCCACTATTTTTTGCACAAGACAGAAAAACGTCACTTTATGCTTCCTACCTGTTGTTCAGACAATTCTGGGAATTTAAAGTTGGAAAATATTTTACATTTTTGAAGCAAATATCAAAAATAAACAAAAAAAATCAAACTTAAATATATTAATTCCACAGAGGAAAACTAAATGAAAAGCAGCAATTCACTGGAGAAAGCAGAAAGTAATCTGCCTTTTTCTTATCTGCAGTTACTTTAACAACACAAAATATCTGATTAACTCTGTGTTAAAGTACAAGCCCCCGGTTTCTCTGTAGTGTTTACACTCAGGAATCCAAAGTGTCTGAGCTGCACCAGTACGTGTTTTTCATGGCATGACCTTCTGCTTCTGTGAATAGCAGCATACCAGCGATGGATGTGGTCCCAAGGGCCTGAGGCTGGGTAATGAGGATATATCTAATGGCTAGATTTGACAAACAAAAATGACAGAAAGGACAGCTCACACCAGAGGCTAACTGTACCCACAGTCTTTGACACTGGGATGTGGGGTTTGGAGGCTGTTTGTGTGTGGAACGGCATACTGCGCCTCTGCTGCACTGAGCCTGGGTTTTGTAGTATGGATGCCTGTCATTCTGCTGCTGGTATGCTTTTCCCTGAGCTCTATTTATAGGGCTGTGTTTACTGCAAGCACAGAAGATTCCAAGGAAGATCTACTTCTAGCTGTGGGCATGGTCAGCACTGTCTGGATCAACAAAACCAACGCTTCTTAGGGGCAATCCCCAAAATAATCAAACAGTCATTAAGAAATGGCAACATCTGCAACTCAAACGTTGAGCACATTAAAACAAGATAACATCTACTTGGTATGACTGATTACATCTGATTGTTACAAGCCTTTCAAGACATTTTACCAGACTGAAAAAAAAATCTCTGAAAACCTTAAAGCAGCGGTCCCCAACCATTTTTGCGCCACGGACCGGTTTATGCCCGACAATATTTTCACGGACCGGCCTTTAAGGTGTCGCG